TTGCTGAGGAAGACGGCCCTGGGCTAACATCTGTGCCCATCTTCCTCCACTTTATATGGGACGCCGCCACAGCATGGCTTGCCAAGCAGTGCGTCCGTGCACGCCCGGGATCCGAACCAGCGAACCCCGGGCCGCTGCAGCGGAGCGCGCGCACTTAACCGCTTGCGCCACCGGGCCGGCCCCACCAGCCTTTTCTTGTGTTACTCATGACCTTCTTGAGCCCTCGAGGCAGGAGAGCACATGGAGAGGCGTTGGTGAGGCTCCGGGGGCCATCCCTGGGCAGCTGCGGGTCAGCCCAGCACAGCCCCTCTGCACGTGCCAAGGCAGCGAGCACCAGATGCCTGTGGTTCCAGGAAGCGTCTTCCCTGCTGAGCAGAAGTCCCCTCCTCTGCTCCCCAAGCCCAAGGCCTCTGTCTTGTAGGAGAACAGTCGATTACAGAAGGAGATAATTGAAGTAGTGGAGAAGCTTTCGCAATCAGAGAAGCTGGTCCTGAAACTGCAGAGTGATCTGGAGTTTGTGTTGAAGGACAAGGTAGGTCCTTTTGCTGATTCTGAGTCTTTAGAGACGAGAGCCTTTGGGTGCTGGGTAAAAAGTGTCTTGAGAAAGAATACATAGGCAACTGAATTTAGTTCTTTTCTACTAAAATTCTAGAATGGAGAGAAAATTAGCATAGCGGCTTTCCCTCTGTTTTCCTCCCCTCCGTGACAGTGCAGGGGTGCCTGTATACTCTGGCGTTGCCTACACATTGGCCTTTTAGTGACAAGGCCAGGGCCAGCCAGAGCCATCTGCACAGACCCCATTGATGGGTTCTTGGTGGTGGGGGCGTGGAGCAAAGGTTAGAGCTCAGTGCCCACCATGAGGCCTCTATCTGGCCCTGCGCATCCCCTTAGAAGGAGGAGGGGAAGGTGGGGAGGTGCTGCACAGGGGCAGGGTTCGGGCAGAATGCAGCCCAGGTTCCAGGTGGGAGCATGGCCGCCTTCCATAAATTCAGAACATCCTTCTGCCTTTAGGTCTTTTAATCGTGGGGGAGGGCAAGGGAGAGGAGGAGGAGGAGGACGAGACAGCTGCACCTGGAGATGCTGAGCCTAGTGGGAGGAGGCAGCTACTGAGGAGGTGACAGCACATGCCCTACCTGGCCTGAGGTCCTATCTGCCATTTTCCTGCATGGGTCTTACTTTCAGCTGGAGCCTCAGAGCACGGAACTTCTGGCCCAGGAGGAGCGGTTTGCGGTGGTCCTGAAGGAGTACGAACTCAAGTGCCAGGTATGTATGTCTCCAGCCTCCTTTGCCGTCCTAAGCAGTTGTGTTTCCTCTGTCTTGAACCGGGGTCATCATGCACCGCTGCCCCACACCCCCAGCCCACCGGGAGGGGCAGGCTGTGCCAGGGAGGGTTCTCTCTGAGAGCTTGGTCCTCCAGGGACCTCCTGGGCCGTAAGGCTGCGCTGCCTTCTCCTGGCCAGGCCTGCTAAGAATGGGGTGCTGGAGCGCAGGAGACGGGCAGCACTGCAGGTCCTCAGGGCCTGTCTGGCTCAGACCTGGGTGAGGTGTGCAGGCCTCGTCCTTCCCCCTGCTGCCTGGGGGAGGCCTGACAATCCAGCGGGCCACACTCCTTGCTTCCACATGAAGGGTGGTCCAGCATGGGATGGCAGGAGCACCCTTCTCTGAGCAGAACAAGCAGACCTCTGATTGTAATCTGCGTTCTGCCGACGGGGTCCTCCAAGCCTGGTGTTCCAAAAGGAGGTGGGATGGGACTTGCCTGCTTGGTTACTGTGCTCGGCCCCACATGAGCTGACCAAGGTTGCTAGACTGGCGCCGGTTCTGAAGGCCCCTTCCGTGTTTCCAGGCACCTTGTAGGGCTTCGTCTTGTTTTCTGTTGTTTAGTGTTTAGATTTCCTGGGCTGAACCTCTCAGTGTCAGTCCATCGCAGAGCTGGGCGGAGGAGGTGAACAAAGTCAGTGATGCTGAAACATGTCATGGCCCCGTTATACTCTTAACATTATCGAGGACCCAACAGATAAAACATTGTTTAATGTTAAGGGTTTATTATCAATTCACTTCTTAATGATTTCCTTCCAAATTAAAGTAAGAATTGACTTTGTTCCTGCTACACATTGCTTTGGCAACACCAGAGGATAAAGGTGAGCTTTGCTGTTCTGGAATGTGACGTGACCCACTGCTTCCACCCTGTGCTCTTTCCTCCACTCTAGACCCTGAATCCTGGGCTGCCCTTTGAAAAATCCTGTGGTGTGGTCAGCTGTGTCACCCTCCCTCTGAACCTGATTGGTGTGTGTGGGGTCGGGATTGGGGGCTGTCGTGCAGGTGGAATGTGCTGCACAACTTTCTGCTAGGAGGTGGATTACATGCTGTGTTTTCTCTTCCCTTTAAGCTTCCTGTGTAGACTCAGAACCTATAACTGACCATCAATTAACACGTTACTGCAGTGCACTGGATTTCTCAAACAAGTGTAAACCCCTTCTTTCTTTAACATGACTATTACTTAAAGGGCTGCTACTCATTTTAGTTTTGGTTCTTGAAATTTTATTTTTTGAAATATCATCAGAAATATTTTACATTTTAATGCTAATTTATTTATTTAGAAATTTCCCCTCCGTTTTTGGATATTTTTTGCTGTTTCAAACTAACCTTTAGAGCACTAAAAAAACTTTTTTATTTGAAAATTATTTCTAACTTACATAAAGTTACGAGAGGAACACCTGGATACCCTGTACCCAGATTCACCCTGTTCTCTCCATCACTGCATGCTCACTCACTCTCTGTGTGGGGGGTGTGAGTGTGTGTACTAGATAGTTATTTTCTGAACATCTGAGGGTAAGTTACATACATCAGGGCCCTCACCCCTGAGCACATCAGTGTGCATTTCCTAAGAACAGGCTTGATCCCACTAACCTCAGAGTGGTGTGCAGGTGCACCAGAGTTGACTGTTAAAAATATTCAGGAATTTTGATAGCTTCTTGTTAAACCTTTGATAGCTTGAATTGGCTGTGGTGAGAGTTATTTACACCACAGGAATGTGTAGAAGCTACAGATCTGGACTTTTCTTCCTGGAGAGCCAGCTTCCCAACACCCTGATGAATGAGAATATTCTACATAACTGTGGACCTACTAACCTCATGATTTCCATTGATGTGATACTTGAACCTGCTGGCTGTGTTTCAGTTTTGTTAGCTAACCTAGCAATGTCCTTTAGAGCATTTTCCCTCCAGTACAGGATCCAGTCTAGGACCAGGTGTTGCCTTTAGTTGTCATGTCTATTTAATGTTCTTTAATCTGAAACATTCTTAGTTCAGGCTATTATAACAAAAATACCAGAGACTGGACAGGGGGCATGGCTTATAAACAACAGAAATTTATTTCTCACAGTTTTGGAGCCTGGAAGTCCAAGATTAGGGTGCTAGCAGATTTGTTGTGTGGTGCGGGCCCTTTTCCTGGTTGCAGATGGCTGGCCTTCTCACTGTGTCCCCACATGGCAGAAGAGGGCAAGGGAGCTCTCTGGGGTCCCTTTTATAAGGGCGTTAATCCCCTTCATGAGGGCTCCAACCTTATAACCTAATCACCTCCCAAAGGCCCCCCTCCTAATGCCATGACATTGGGCGCTAGGATGTAACATATGAATTTGGGGGGGGGGACACAAACATTCAGTCTACAGCATATTCCATTAGCTTTTCTTTGTCTTTGACTCTGATTTTTTTGGAGAATATGGCCCCCCTTTTTAATAGAAACTTTCTCGTTTTGTGTTTTTCTGATATTTCCTTTGGATAAAGTTGTGGGTATACATTCTCAGTTGGAAGACAGCATGTGTGATGCTTGCTTTGATTGTCTGGTCAAAGTATTGCCTGATTACCCCACTGTATAATTACTGGGGATTTTTTTTCCCCCTCCCATGCAACTAATAAGCAGTTAGTGGGAAAACACTAAGGCCATGCAAATATCCTGATTTAGTATCCATTGATGATTCTTGCCCACTCCAGTTTTTACCATGATGATTGCAAAATGATTTTCCAACTCCAGCAGCCACTCCATTCTATCAGATGGCTCTTGGTATTCTACTGTAAGCTGGAGAAGTCCTATCTATCTAACCATCCATTCATCTATCTGTCTACCTAATCTGTCTATTATTAGTATGGACTCATGAAATCCCATTTTTCCCCAATAGTTTGTAATTAATTACTATGTCTAATTTTTTGGTGCTCAATTGTGCGAGATTTGGCCGGTGGGAGTGTCTTCCAACTGGCTGCCATGTCTTTGTGATATATCAGTGTCATGTTTTGTTTTGTTGAGTACTTCCATACTTTCTAGCATAAAAAGATGCTCCAGGCTCACTTTGTACTTTACCTACACGTGCCCTAGATCAGCCATTTCTCCCAGGCGTCCTGATTTCTCTGACAAGGGAATGGTTTTAGAGACCAAGATCTGGGTGCTTGGTGTGCTCATTGCTACTGGGGGGTTGCTGCCTCTTGGCTGAGGACATTTTTATAGTCAGTCTCCAGAGGTAGAGATAACCTTGGACCCTCCCCACTGCATCACCCAGTCTTTCCAAAGTCGCTGCTTGGCATTTCCCTGTACTTTGTAACCAGGATATTTGTTAGCAAGGAAACTATGCTTTCCTTTGTTGCCGAATTCCCTTCCTATTTAACCATCATGTTAGCTTTTTTCTCTTTCTTTCAACTGTCAGTCTCAGTTTTCTTGGTAAGTCTACCTTTGGTAAATTGTAGTGTGAAATGTTAACTGGATCCTCTTAGAGATTCTCTGTGGTTTCATGTCTTTCCTGTTGCCTTGGTGGACACTGTAATAGAGTAGTAGCATGTCCTGGGTCAGAAACCCCAAATGCAGGTTTTCACTTTCAGCATTGCCACACTGCTGTAGACTGAATGTTTGTGTCCCCCACCAAATTCATATGTTGAAATCCTAGAGCCAAGTGTGGTGGTGTTAGGAGGGGGCTCTTTGGGAGGTGATTGGGTCATGAGGGTGTTGCCCTCATGAATGGGATTACTGCCCTTATAATAGAGACCCCACAGAGCTCCCTTGCCCCTTCTGCCATGTGATGACACAGGAAAAGATGGCCATCTATGAACTGGGCAGCTCTCACCAGACACTGAATCTGCCAGCACCTTGGTCATGGATGTCCAGTCTTCAGAACTGTGAGAACTACATTTCTGTGCTTTATAAGCTCCCCAGTCTGTGGTATTTTTGTTATAGCAGCCCAAATGGACTGAGACAGTCTCCAGCTCCTAAGAGCCATCCCATCATTGCCTGTCTCTGGACGGTTCTTCAGTCCCTTTTACGGGGGAGCTTACTCAGCCCAGCTTGTCATCCTAGCCAGCCCGCTGGCACGGCCTTCCTCTCAAGTGCTTTCCAGTGCTGCTGTTGAAATCCCACCCTCCCCTCCTTTGCATCATGGGCTTGCTTCTCCCTGCTGATGAGGAGAAGAAAAGCCTCAACAGGTCCAGAGTCCTCCAACCCTTAGTGCTGTAGAATGTGAGCAGTGGACTTGTCGCCTTTCCTGGCTGGTGCGGTAGCATCTCATAACCACCCTCGGCATCCACAGGCACCCCAAATAAATGTGCAGCCCACGTGAAAATGGACAGGTAGCCTGGCTCCCAAGCCCCACCAGATGCCCCCTGTGGACAGACTGGGCCTGAGGGTGGGTACCCAGGACGGCTCATGGCGCCCTCTTCAGGTAGAACTGGCTCTGCTCCCTTGTGTGTTCTGAGAGCAGAGAAGTCCATGCCCAACAGAACACCACAAAGAACCCATTTTCTGGCACTGCTCAATTTGCATGACTTGTGTATGCTCTCAAAATACCCCATTTGGGGTAGCAGAATCACAAAGTGGGCAGGGCTTTGGATAGAAATGCTTCTGTAGATGTTACTTTGTAGATTAGCACTGTGCAGTAAAAATACAATATGAGTCACACATATGATGCACAAATTAAGTTATCTAGTAGACACATAAAAAATGTAAAAAGGGGCCAGGCCCATGGCATAGTAGTTAAGTTCAGCACACTCCGCTTCAGTGGCCCCGGGGTCACGGGTTCAGATCCTGGGCGCAGACCTACACCACTCGTCAGCCATGCTGTGGCTTCGACCCACATACAAAATAGAGGAAGATGGGCACATGTGTTAGCTCAGGGCTAATCGTCCTCAAGCAAAAAAGGTGGAAGATTAGCAACAGATATTAGGTCAGAGCGAATATTTCTCACCAAAAAAAAATCAAAAAGAAGTAGGTGACATTAATTTTAATAATTTATTTAATTCTGTATATCTGCAGTGTTATCGTTTCAATCAATATAAATAAATTTTTAGTGAGATATATGCCTTTTTGGAGTGAGTCTTTGAAATCTGGTGTAGATTTTATGCTACGGCACGTCTCGATTCAGACTGGCCACCCCTGAGGTCAGCAGGTGGGGTGGCGAGCGCTGCTGTCTTGGACATCAAAGGGCTAGAGAAGCAGAGCGTGCAGGCCGGGTAGGACCAGGCATGCACTCCGCAGGCGGCTCTCGCTTTCTAGCCCTGCCCTTTCCCCTGGGATGGGGCTGCTCCTGTCCATGGGGAAAACTTGCGTCTTTGTGCAGGAGTTCCTGAATGAGGTACAGTGACCCTCCATGAACCTGTGCTGCTTAAAGATCTGCTGCACCTGTCCCTTCTCCCACATGGCCTAGAACTGCCAATGAGAGCCCATTCCTCCAAGGGAAGATGTGGTGACAGGCCAGGCACTGCCTCCAGGAACAGTTTTGGGAAGATTAGGTTTATTCAATGAGAGCTTCCTGGAGAGGAAACTCGAATAGGATTCAAAAATCAGAGAGAGAAGTGGAGCTTTATGGGTGTGCCACAGGCTGGGGGCCCGAGTCCTGTCCATGCGGCTGTGGCTACTTTGGGCTTCCCTCAGAGAGAGTGCCCCAGAAGAAGAATCTGGGCAGCAGCCACACCCTTGGAAGATGTGGCATCACTCTTGCCTTCCTGTAGGTCAAGCAGTCACAGCACTGCCTGGGTTCCGGGGTAGGAGGACACAGACACAGTCACGAATGAACGTGGCAATGTGCACAAGTGTGTGGTGCCAGCTGTGGGACCGTCAGGACAGTGGGCTGAAAAGGCTACCCTTTCTCACTCTTAAAAATCAGGTGACCGAATCTACTTGTTAAGATTTCATTCAAGTGTGGACAAAGTTAACGTTTGTTGCAAATGCAGACCCTTTCTCTTAGGCTTTCACCCCCTCCCCCGGATGTCCCCCCTCCCCAGCACGTGTGTGCCCACCCACCGCCAGCCGCTCTCTTCAGCACGGTCGTCTTTAATGTGTGGCCTTTGCTGTGCAGCACGTGGTCTCCTGTCTGGCAGTTAAGAGCTGCAGAGCCTTTTGCAGATTCCATGGCAGCTGAGGAGGGAATCCAGGTCACGTCTCAGGACACATCCCAGGAGATTGCTGCCTCACAGCACATCGCAGCATCACTGCTTTTAAACAAAAAGCCTGTAGCTTTAGATGTTGATGATTCTCTATATTTTCTATCTTTCTCCTCAATTTCCACTCCACTCTTTTTTCTGAGCTCCTCCTGTGTAGCCTGTCATGGAAGGTGGTACAGGGCATGAGAGGGTCAAGAAATGACCCAGCTCTTGTTTCGCTCGCCCTGTAGTTTGGAACCTAGAATGCAGTGTAAGTGTCATGCACTCTAAGTCAGGCCCTGACACCTGTCTGCCCAACAGCAGGCTTAGCTCAGAGGAGGCACTCCCTGGGCAGCCCTGTCTCTGTGCCACGCTATTCCTCAGGCCAAGTGGCTGCGTGGCTGGAGGAGGCGTCTGGCTCTGTCCCCCAGGACCTGCAGGACCACAATGACGAGCTGCAGGCTGCACTGGAAGGCCTGCAGGCACGGCTGCCCCCGAGTCGGCACAACCAGCTCCAGACACTGCCAGATGGACAGCTGCTCCCTGGTCATGGCCCAGCAGGTAGGATCCTGGTCCTGGGAGGTGGCAGGTCATGCTCCTGCTGGGTGGTGGGGGTGGGGCTGGTGGTGATGGGTGTCCACCTGTGCCCGCTGCCTGGGTTTTCCCTGAGTCCAGGAGCTCGGCAGCAGGTGGGCCAGCTGCACAGCGCATCTGGGCTCAGCTAGGCCTCCAGGTTGTTATGAGCCCCTCAGACCACCACGTGTGAGAGAAAGGCCTGGTAACCCAAGACCAGGGGTTTACCCAACACGCAGAGCTTCAAGGGAGGTAGAGGAGGGTGAAGGTTTCACCATTTGGGTAGAAATGGTGACAGTTATGATGGCCTTGCTGTGACCTCAGGGCAGGCCTGTCCAGGTGACACTCCTCTGTTGTGGGGAGGATCCAGGGAGAGGCCCCAGGGTGAGCGTTCGGCATGAGCTGGACACACATATGACACAGATGGTCATCTAGAGAAGGGAGGAGAGGGGAGGCTGGGGGTGAGCAGGGATGGTCTCCCAGCCCTGCTCGCAGTGCAAGGTCTGGCCTAAGCTGGTCTCGGGTCCGCCAGCTCTTATGAAGGAAAGGTACTAAATTGTATGAAATGCGTCAGGGACTCCTGGTATTCATACAGGCCTCGTGGGGACCAAAGCTGAGAGGGCCTGACGTCTATTGCTCCACATGGGTGATGTGGAAGACGTTACTCTCCGGGTCAGAGGTCGGTAGGGCCATGGCACTGGGAAGAGTCCCCCCAGACACACACCTACACACAGAGCTGATGCTGAAGGGGTAACCCGAGAAAGACCAGGGCTTTGTGCTTCCTAACTCAGCCCGTGGGGTTTGGATGAATTCCAAGTGCTGAGAGGCCCGGGGGCCCCATGTTTGTGTTCTTGGCTCCTTCTATAGACCAGAGTGGAGGCTTCAGATGTCACAGCTGTCTTTGAGGTTTCTGTGGTCCTTTTGGAGGACCGGGTGGGTTTGGCTGGTTGCTGCCCCTCCTGGCAGTTGTGCAGGGCAGGCCCCATGCCGGTTCACATGATGGCGCATGGCTCCATGCCCACTGCTGCTGGCGAAGGGACTGTGGGGACCACCAGGACTGCCCCAGCCCCAGCAGCACAACTGCCTCCGTGGATCACACATCACAGCAGCCGCAGTCCATCCGAGAACATCTTGCTCCCATCTGTAACCCTGAGAGCACTTAGAGTTCCCATATTGTCCTAAAGTTATTTACTTGCTAAAACAGAAGAAAGTTAATACCTGAGAGAGCCAGCATGGGAACCCCCCAAGGGAACTGATCAGGTTTTCTGTGCGTGTGGGCCCAGCTTCCTTGGCGCCTAAAGGAACCCCATCACGGCAGCTTCTTCAGTGGACTCTGATTCTCCTGAGACCCACAGCACTGACTGCCCTCAGCTGGGAGGTGTTGGGGTGCAGCTGGCACATCGGATGTTTCCAAATTCCCAGATGAGGTGCACAGCTGGCCACAGGGAAGGGGTGATTGTTACCTCTCTTTGTCCCTGGAGGAACCTGAGCTATACAGAGTGTGTGACCCTTGTCAAGAGCCACTGACTCATCCGGCGGAGCTGAGGTTCTGTGCCCTGGTTGCCCTTGTCGAGAAGGCCTTGGGCTATGGCACTGGAAGGTAGCCCAAAGCTTCATGTTGTCACTGATAAAACCAAAGAAATCTTTTCTCTTCCCCTCTGCCCCCTTCATCTGACTGCAGAGGTTCCGTCTACCCCTTCAAAGGACGAGGGGTATGTCTGCCACCAGAGGGGACAGTCACAACAGCAGGGTTGTGGTGGAGGGCTGTGTGATTGTGTCTGCCGAGCTATCAGGGAGCTGTGGCTCGAGTCCACTGGAGCCACTCCTGAAGGGCCAGCCCCGGGTGGCAGCTTCCAGTTGCCAGGACAATGGGATGCTTTCTTTCTGGAGGTGCCTGTCCTGAGTTCTCTTGGCCCTGATGTCCCTGAGTCTTCACTTCTCATGGAAAATAATTTGGGAAATGGAAGGAGATGATGAGAGTTAGAGGATGTGTCTTTTCCCCTCACTTTCCTGGTCCCTGGACCAGCACAGATGAAACCTTAGCAGTGGCCATAACCCACATTCTGAGTCAACCCTTTGGCATGCCCCCCCACCACACACACATTGGGACTTCCTGGCACCCAGGAGGGCTGGCAGTGCTTGTGGGTCCACAGGCGCCACGTTGACACAAGCCGCCGACACGTCTGATGTCATCCGTGAGGAGAATCTTCTGGAACAAGGGGTTGCTCATGTCCCCCTCCCTGTGATCTGCCAGAGCCTTCACTCCACAAGTATTTAGTATGCCTGACTTATTTGTTGAGACCCTGCATTATTTGTAGGATGTAATAACCAGTCATAGGGGGCCTCTGAGAAAATGAAGAAATAAGCCTCCTGCCTGCCTCATGGTGAAGTGCTGACGGCCCGAGAGGTTGGTCTGTGCTGCAGGTCACACTTGTCGCTCAGTCTTCCCAGTTCCTCCGTGTACCTGGCATCGTCAGGGAACAGAATTTAGGTGCAATAAATATGCTGTGTATGACATCTTTTAGGGAATTAAAGGGCCTGACAATTCTTGCAGGGAGCCTCCTAGTTATATCTTTGAGTAATCTTTGTTATGGCAAAGACTCGAAATGCTGATTTCTAAAGAGCTCCAACTTTGAGAACATGCCATACAGACCATTCAGGGAAACCTGCGAGGGTCACCCCTTCCTGCCCCCCTGCATTCCTCTCGCAGAAGGTGCCTATGGAGGTTGTGCTTTGTTGGAAGGGTGGTGGGGGAAAGCTGGGATGAACCCTCAATGCATCCAAATGTCAGACTGGAGGGTTGGGAACAGACCCCGTGGCGTCCTCTGTGGGACGTAACCAGAAACGTCCTCTTGTTTGCAGGCATCGTCTCCTTGGTGGGTGATTCCACTGCAGTGAGTCTACAGACAGAGCTCCTGGTGGAGCAGGTGAAGGAACATTACCAAGATCTCAAGACCCAGCTGGAGACCAAGGTCAGGGGGACGGGAGCTTCCTGCTGCACGCTGGAAAGCTTCTCTCAGCTGTGCTGATGTTTCCTCGTGCCCACGTCTGCCCTAGTATCCTCTGCCTGCTCAGGGGAGGAAAGTTTGTAGGAAAGTGTAAATAAAATTGACATTCTGCCTCAAGCCCTCTTTGGAAGGAGGCAAAACATAAGGAATAACTAATAATGGGAAGGCAACGGGGTTAGCAACGGGGTTATGCATATCCAGAGTGTCACAAGGGTCGCCCTGAGGCCAGACTTCCCTGCTCACCCAGCTGTTAGGGAATCACAGCTCCTGGCTTTGTTCTAAGCTGAAATGATCGGGGGATCTGCCTCTGGTTGGGTACTCTATGTCTTCATGGCCAGAACCACCCTGGCAGAATCCGTCTTGGATGAACATGTCTCCTGCTCTGTTATTAGATTGTGGTGGGTTTTGTTAAGGGACAGTGTCCACGACTTGTTAGGTATCAGATTCCTCAGAGTGAGTGGCAGTGTAGTGGGGCCGCCTCCATCTCTTGGCTGTGCCTGTGGGCTCCGCAGATGCATTAGCTGGAAGCTCCTGCTGTCACCTTGCCCGCTGGGGCCTCCAGGCTGTTCAGAGCCACCTGCTTGTCTCCTGAAGGCTCCCCAGTTCTCTCAGTGTTGTCGTACCCTCTGCCTTCCTCATGCTGTCTGGCCAGGCCCTGGCCCAGTTGGGCTGCAGCTTCCTTTCCCCACCTGCTGGACCTGCCTCCCGAGGCTGTTGGAAAGTTAGTGTGGGTAACAAGCGCAAGGCTACCCTGGGCCCTTGGGAGCCTAGGGTGTCATTAGTGTGGCTGGCCCTTTCACGGGCCCTTGTACCTCGTTAGATTGGGCCACGCACTATTTGGATGTCTCGCCTGGCAGCCTTGTGTTTCTGCATTGTATTGTCAGGTAAGTCATTTTGGGGACCCTCCTGATTGACGTTGCTCGTGTTTCTCTTCTCAGGTAAATGACTGTGAAAGGGAAATTGAGATGATGAAAAGGGACTTTGCAAAGGAGAGAAAGGAGGTGGAGCAGGCTTTCAGGCTGGAGGTCAGTGTGCTGGAGGAGCAGAAAGCGGACCTGGAGACACTCCACGTGGAGTCTCAGGAGGCCATCCGAGCCCTGCAGGACCAGCTGCAGACTGTGGCCCATGGCCTGGAGCTGGAGAGGCTGGAGATGGAACAGCACTACGCACAGGTGCGCTCTGGCCTGGCCCGGCAGCTGGCACAGGAGAAGGACCAGCTGGAGGTGGCGCTGCGCCAGAGGCATCAGAATGAGCTGCAGCACCTCAGGTCCGGGCGCCAGTCCTTCTGTGATTTCACGTCTAGGGTTTCTTACCAAGAACCAAAATTTGAAATCGAATTTAGGCAAACTGCTCAGAATCACAATACCTGTGAGCTGGGTGGTTTTTCTCCGGGCACATGAGCAAGTCCCGAAAGAGCAGGTCATCATATGAGAATTTTTACTTTTAGTTAAAAGTATGTATTCATTAGAGCTTAGGCCGTGAAGCAGTTTGCTTTGTAGATTTTTAACTCTGTTTTTTACCTTCTTCTTCAGACTTGCCTAGTAGCAAAGGGCAATATGTTCTCATCTTTTAATGTCTCATTCTGATTTTCTAGGACACCTGTCCTAGTACATGGGGAGATGGATGAAAGGTCTAAAAGCCCTAAAACAATGGGAAAGACAATTAATTTGGGTTAGCGAGGTGCTTAAAAAGGCTAAAATGTATGAGCAAAGGAGAGAAAAGACTTATTTGGAAAACCAGAATATAGTATATTGTGTCCAAGTATCATGAGTTAACATGAGAAGTACCCACGTGCCCATTCTTTGTCGGCTCTGACTTAGTAACTAGTTATGGCAGGCGCAGTGTTGGTCAGCCAGCCCCTCCCTGTCCCGTAGGGAGTCTTGGACCTTCCCCAGCTCAGGAGAGGATAGGCACACCCAGCACATGGTAGCCCAGGGCTGAGCGGACAGCTCCCAGCTGAGGGCCCCACCGCACACCTCACAGAGGGGCGCCGTGTTGGGGCTGGTTGGGTTCCAGTGTTGGAGCCGAGTGGACGTGGTCACCACACTGATAGCAGCGACGTCAAGCAACCTCCATTTTGAGGTCATGCCCTCTGACCCAGGTGAGGTAGGCTCTCCTCTTCCTTGGCTCGAGGATTGGGGGCAGCCTGAGCACATGGGATGTGCTGAGAAAGAACCAGACCTCCCTCCACTCCAGATGACACCTACGGAGCGGCCCCAGGCCCTCAGGGACTCACGGGAACTTACTCTCACTCTCCTAGAGGGTAGATAAAAAGTTGTTTTTAAGTCATATGCTTCCCCTGAGCTTTAAGTTATTTTCTCTTAAACCCAAGAGCTGTGTGATGAGGGACTTGACCAAAGCACCCTTCAGACCCCCACAAGGCAGCAGAGGGGCAGGTGCAGGGTAGCCCCTCTTCCTCACCTGAGCCATCTTGTCTGGAAGAGCTGTCCTTGCTGCTCATGGTTCCTGCTCTGCCTGGAGGTACAGCCGCATCCGGCCATGTTTCCCTTGCTCAGGCCAGCACTGGCCAGGAGCAGAGGACACGCCCATCCCAGCCCTAGTGCTCGTCCAGGCTGCGACTCCATTCTCCTGGGGCTGCTACAGCCCCAGTCCCAGCAGCTTATGAGATTTTCAAGGACAGTTTTGACTACGGGTGAGTTTCACCCGTCTCACTGAAACTTGAGTCCAATGCCGTCCTTAGAACTTTCTGCAAAGAATCACATGCCCTGTGTCTGCTCTATCCATTATGGCAGCCGCCAGCCATGTATGGCTGCTGAGCACTGGACATGTGGCCTGTGCGACTAAGGGATTGAATTTTAATTCTGTTTAATTTTAATCAACTTACATTTAATAGTCACACATGCACGTGGCTTCTGTGTTGGCTTCTGTGTGTAGAACCCAACCCCACTGAGGGCAGATCTTCCAGCAGGCTCTCTAAGGAGGGTCCCAGGGTGTGGATGGAGGCCCAGGATGCATGGGCGTGAGAGGATGAGCAACAGATGGAGAGGAGTTCTGCCTTGGAATAAGACAGCCTGTGCGGCCCTCTGACCTGAGGGAAGATCTGGGGTTAGAGCCGCGGCCCATGGTGCCTGGGATGCATTCTCTTTCTGTAGGAAAGAGGTAGAAGTTGAGCTGAACCAAAAGCTCTCGTGGATGGAAGCCCAGCAAGCCACCTGCTGTGAGAAGTTGTCACTGCAGCACCAGCAGGAGCAGGAAGAGATGCTACAGCAGTGCCTGCTGCGCGTGAGGGAGGTGACGGAGCAGCTCAGCCTGGAGAGGGAGCGCAGGGAGGAGAGGGAAAGGGAGGTCCTCACACGCTGTGGAAGGCAGCAGCTGCAGGATTTGATGAGCCAAGAGCAGGCGCAGCTTCGCAAGTCGTTTGCCCTCAAGAAGGAGAAGTTAGAACTTGCCTGTAGGAAGCAAGTGGAAAGGCTTGCCCAGGAAGTAGAGATGCTGTGGGCCCTCTTGAAGGATGGACCAGTAGTAACAGGTGGTGAGCAGGAGGTGGCTCCATGCTCCTCTCTGCAGGCAGGAGGGGATGGCCACCGCCCAAGGTGGAACCGGGAGAGGGGCCTGGCCATGGGCAAGCCAGGTGCAGGAAGGCCAGGCCAGCACTCTTGCCGTGTAGACACCAGGCAGAGCCCAGCCTCAGTCTCTGCTCTGGCATCCAGAGGGCCGTCTGAGAGGCTCGGCCACAGAGAGAATGGTCAGGGAATGCTCAATGCCAAGGAGGTGGCTTCTGCTGCCACAGAGAGGTCACATGTACACCCATTTGGGGTGGATGGGGCAGCGGCTCTGGAGGAACTGGTGCCTCCTGCCTGTGGCCCAGCTGGCCTGAGCCAGCCTGAAGCCCGGGAGCTTCTCTTGGGAACGGAAGGAGGTGCCTTGCTGGCTCAGCCCCACATGGTGGGCAGTGGGGAGACCAAGAAGCAGCAGGCCATTCTCGAGCCAGCTGGGAACCTGAGTGGGGAGCCGGCCCCTGCAGGGAGCCAGGGGCAGGCTTCGGAGGAGGAGGCCCAGTGCGGCGAGAAGACCCTGGAGTAGGGGCTGCAGTACAGCGGGGACGAGGCCTCAAGGAGGGGCGCTGCATTTGCCCACCCTGAGCTTGCTGGCCCCCAGGTGGCCAGGCAGGAATGGCTCGAAGTCCTTGGGCAGGAAGAGGCCAAAACAGCCCTGGAGAGAGAGAATGACATCAAAACCAAATTTCTGCAGCTGGAAGATGTCATCCGGGCTCTTGAGAAAGCAGATTCAAGAGAGAACAACAGGTGTGCTTTCTAACCTGTTCTTAGAATGCCGAGCTGAACCCTGTAATCTCTCTCCCTACTGGCCCCACCATGGCATGCGCCTCTCCAGCCAACCAGCTCGCAGCCGCTGACGGGACTGGTTCTGTACCCCTTGTGCCTGCACAGGGGTCATAAGCCCAGCCCTAGACCCCAGGCATCCCACAGGTCACCAGCTGCTCAGCAGTGGGGGCGAGGGGGCAGAGGCAGGCCTTTCTGGGCAGCTCAGCTGGCTCTGGTGTCCCCTGCCTTTGTCCTTAGGAAATTCTTGCTGGTCTCATGAGGACAAGGACAGACTGTGCTTGGAGACCCCACTTCAGCCCTGGGGCATCTGAGCCCTCTTCCTGCTGCCTTGGAGCAGGACCCACTGCTGTACCCCACCAGGGCGTGTGCCAGGCCCTGTCCTCGAATTGCACGTCCCTGTGTGGTTGGAGTGTCCACATGAAGGGTCTCTCTGCCGCCGTGTTCTGGGAGGCCTGAGCACCACCTGGGAGTACCCAGGGAGCTGCAGCTGACTCCTTCAAGGGAAACCTCGAGGTGGGGAGGCAGCCTAGAGATGTCAGTCTGTAGGCAAGGCACAGGGAGTGTCCAGGTATGCAGCCAGGCTGTCCTGCTCCTCAGGCTCCCCTGGGGGACTCAGGGTGGCACACGCTCAGAAGCCCGGAGTTCTAGAAGGGATTTTTCAGATGCTGCAGAGTTGGCTGTGGGTGTTTCTCTCCTGGCTCCTTGGGAGACAGAGGGCTGCCCTGGGAGATGTTACAGGCACTTATGTGGCCAGGCATGGCTGTGTGACGTGGTCAGTGCCCTGCTTGCAGTATCATTTGGTCCCGTTAACCCTGACACAGCACACCTGCAAGGTGCCCACTTCCTGCAGAAACAGAGGCTCCACAAGGTCCTGTGTCACTCGTGCAAGTCGGTGACACTGGCTCACAACAGACGTGGGTCTGTCACAGAGCATGGTCACAGGTGTGTGGTGAAACTTGTATTCCAGCTCAGGCGCCAGCACCTGCTAGCTGGATGACTATGGGAAAATTGCTTCATTGAATAAAAAAGATTATGTGGGATTTATGATGACTCAAAGGGAATAAATGTCAATGTACCACCCAGCTTAAGAAAGAAAGTATTAGCATAGCTGGAAGCTCCAGGCACCTCCCCAGGCCTCCTTGCTCCTCCTGGAGGCGCCTGTCCTGAAGGGGCTGTTCAGTGCTGTCTGGACTTTGCTTTATGCCCCTGCCTCTTATGTGATTGTTCCCGAACGACGTGGAACCTTGTTAGCGGTGGTCTGATTTCTAAATTTTCTCATCCATGTAGTGGTGATGGTGCCGTGCCTCAAAAGGGGTGTGGTGAGTACAAGATGAAGGTGTGAACGTGTGCTTACAATCTCACTGCTCAGTGTAAGCCTCCCACAAACAAACTGGTCTCTGGCCAGCAGACACACCGTGGGGACCTGCTCTGTGCGGGAGTCCACGGCAGGCTCCAGGCGCACAGGGTCCTCAGGTACAGAAGCAGCCCAGCACTAGAATGCCACTCTGCTGTCCCTTCTGGATGCTTCCCAGTGGACAGACAGGTGTGCCCACACCTGTGCCATCCAGATCCTTCACTCCAGCCCCTAGTTGTTTGCTGCACACCGACCTGAGTCCTGGAAGGCTGCCCTTGTCCTCTGTCTGCTCCTCCTGACCCGCTGCACTCCCCGGCCTGTTGGCCCCACCACTAAAGTCACAGTTCAAGTCTCAGCAGGGTCTTCCCTCGTTTGACGGTGTTCATTGGGCACCTTCTCTGTGCCAGCATAGCTCGGGATTGCAGCAGCGAGCAAAACAGCTGTGTGGAGCGTTCAGCCCCGATGGGGAGGCACCACGCCTCGTGCTCATCCCAGTGTTAGCAAGAAATGTGCTACCACGTTTTAAGGATGAAGACTCTTAAAGGCCATGCCACTCAAACCATGTACATTTTCCAGGGATACATACAAGTGTGGTGAAAGCCTAAGGGA